GCAGGAAAAATAAACTTGTCCACCCTTACCAGTACATCCTCGATCTTTCCTTCGGGAGTTGCAATTGACCTGTCAGCCAGCTGCAAAGATACTGTGGTCGGCCTTGCTTCTCCAATACCCAACTTCTTGAATATGGACATCGGCATTAAATTTATGCTAGCTCCCAAGTCACACAATGCTCTTCCAAAGTATTGATTTCCAATAGAGCATGGAATAGTAAAACTTCCTGGATCCTTTAGCTTGGGCGGGAGTTTGTTCTGCAGAATAGCACTGCATTCTTCGGTCAAGGCCACTGTTTCAAACTCCCCAAGCCTGCGTTTCTTGGTCACGAGATCCTTCATGAACTTAGCATAGCTTGGCATTTGTTCTAAGGCTTCCACTAGCGGTATGTTGATGTGTAGCTGTTTCAAAACATCTAAAAACTTGTGGAACTGCCCATCTTGTTGCTGTTTCTGGAAACGCTGTGGGAATGGTAGAGGTGGTCGGCTTCCACTAGGGTTGCTGGTCTCCGCTGATCCAGAATGCTGCGGAAATGCTGCAGCATTCTGCACATTAGAGTCTAGTTGTTGACTCCTGTGTTGTTCTTCTTGTGGCAGTGTTTTCTTCTCTCCCCCTTGGATTGAAGTGGGCTCTGTGTGAGCAGCCATAGATTTTGCTTTTGATTCCAACTCCTTTCCACACTTTAGTGTAATAGCTTTGCAGTGTTCTTTCCCATCTCTTCGTGGATCTTCGGTATTGCTTGGGAGAGAACCTTGGGGCCTGTTGTTCAGGGAGTTTGCGATCTGTCCAACTTGATTTTCTAAATTCCGCAGTGCTGCATCATGGCTCTGGATTTTGACTTCACTCCTTGAAATAAACTCTTTTAACAAGCTCTCCAAAGAGCTAGATTGTTCCACGGCTTGAGTTCTTTGTTGTTGCGGTGGATATCCAGGTGGATATGTGCTTCTGTGGTAGGCATTGGGCTGACTAGTTCCTGCTCCCTGATTACTCCATGATAAGTTTGGATGTTGCCTCATCCCTTGGTTATGAGGATTTGAATAGTGATGACTACCCTTGTTGAAATTAGCAACATAGCATGCAGAGGTAGGGTTGGATGGGCAATCTTCATATTGGTGGCTATCTCCACAGTAAACACACGAAAAACCAGGGGTGTGCATTGCATTTACCCCTGCCGGTGTGTTTAATGCCTTTACCATATTCGTCAAGGATGACATTTGTGCTGAGAGTGCAGTGATGGCGTCAACCTCGTGAATTCCAGTGGCCTTCCTTGCATTATGCCTCTCGGTTGGCCATTGATAGTTGTTGTTTGCCATCCTCTCTAAAATCTCATATGCATCATTATAAGATTTGGCCAAAATGGC